TTCTCAGGGAAGGAAAGTAGAATTAGAAACAGCATATAAATAATGCACATTGGAGTATTATTGAGGTGTAAGAATATGGAAATAAAGTATTTGCTGCTTAACAGCGAGATTCTGAAGATGTCATTTAAGGCTTAAGGGGAAAATTGCAAAATATTTTCTTGATGTCAAGATTCTGATATTTTTCATTCTCTGTATTTTCCAAATTCCTCATCATTGCTCATGTTATACCAGGAAGGGTAAAATTCCATCCATCGCACGATAAAAATGCTTCAGAAAGACGTCTTTAATGAGATAGATTTCAGTATTTTCCAATGACTCATTTCAGGTTATTGACTTGAAGTTCACTGTTTTCACTTCCCCCTCCTTTCTGTAATAACATATTATACTTTGCCAACTTCTATTCTGTTTTACTGTTCCAAAATGTGGGCAATTTGGAAAGTCATAGCCAGTGCATCAATTATTTCTTTTAGAATCTAAGAATGTAAGCTATCAGGTCCTGAGGAATGTTGGATTTTAGTCCTATGAATTTCTCCAGGAGTTTATCTCTGCTAATGTTAAATACCTTAACTTCTTCATTCTTTACTGCATAAAGATTCCCCTCTACTTCTGGTATGCAACTTGTGTGTTCTACTATGAAGGCAACCCCAAAATACTTGTTCTATGTCTTTGCCATTTCCCCATTTCCCATAATCATATATTCTGTCTCTGCTGCTAAAGAGCCAACTTTAGTTTACTTTAGCTAATCTCTTCCTTTTTGAATACCTTTAAATAATCTGTTTTTATATTCCTGTTTAGTTTGTTCTGATTTTTTTCCCCTTTTTATAAAATTTTTGGTGGCCCTTTGTTGGTTTCTTAAAAACTCACGGTCCTTCGATTTGCCACCATCCTTTGCAACATTCAGAAACAATCTTGAAACAATTATTCAGGATAGAAATAATAGTCATATGGAAAAATATGAATTGATTTGGAAGAGTGAACACGGATTTATTAAGGGAAATTACATTTGGAGTTTTTTGAAGAGGTAATAGAGGGTTGATGAGGGGAAGGCTGTTGATGCGGTACACATGGACATCCAAAAGGCATTCGATACAATGCTATGCAACAGACTTGTGAGCTAAGTCACAGGTCATGGAATAAAAAGGGGCTGCATGAACTGAATTCATAGTTGGCTGATGGATGGGAAACAACGAATATTGGTTAATGGTTACTTTTCAGCCTGGAAGAAGGTTTTGTAGTAGTGTTCCTTAGGAGTCGGTATTGACACCCGTAGTTTTCTTGATATGCATAAATGATCTAATTTGTGCAGGGATAATGATCTAAATTGTGCAGGGACAATTTCCAATGTTGTAACCAACACGAAATATGGGAGGATTATGAGCTATGAATAATTGAGGATCTTCAAAAGTATGTTGGCATGTTGGTGGAGTGGGAGGATAGGTGTGAGATGAAGAAATGCAGAGAAATTTGAGTTTTTGCACTTTGGTACAAAGGACATAGAGAGACAGTGTAAAAAATAGGTACTATTCTAAAGCGTGTACAGGAGCGGAGAGACTTGGGTACATATGTACATAAATAATTCATAGGTAGGACAGATAGATTGAGCTGATAATAAAGCATACATTATTCCAGGCTTCATGAAGAAGTTGAAGAACAGGGAAGTTATGATGAAATTAAAGAAAACACTGGTGATACTTCATCTGAGGGTTAAGTACAGCAGTGGGCTTCACACTGTGGGGAGGTTGGAAATGCATTGGAGAAAGCACAGAAGAGTTTTATGTCAATGGTTGGAGAGATGAGACATTTCAGTTTGACAAAAATTTGGAAAAATTGGGACTGTTTTCCATGGACAGAAGAGAAGATTTGATCCAAGTTTTCAGTATCATGAGCTGTCTGGACAGAGTGGAATAGGAGAAAGTGTTCCTACTCATAAATGAATCAAGAACAAGAGGGCACAGTTTTAAAGTGTTCTGTAAAAGAAACAGATGTGAAATGAGTAAAAACATTTTCACAAAATGAGTCGTTAGGGCCTGGAATTCACTCCCAAGCGGGCATTGGATCAATATTTTTGAAGAGACTTATAATGAATCACGGAGTCACAGAAGTTTTCTTTTGACATTGTTGTTTGTGATTAGATTGTGTCATTTTCAAAATAAATATGGGATTCAATTATATCATGATAATCATTTCCTGCTGCATCTTTTACAATAAGATTTTTGAGGATCTAATTAAATGAAGGGGAACTAGATTAACGTAGTTTAATTTCCTAGACTCCACACAAATTCTAATCTGCAAGGAAAGGGCTCAAGGAGTTGATATAATATATTAGCAAGTATGGAGAATTGGTTAACGGACCAGAAGCAGAATGTAGACATCAACGAATCATAGAGTCATGGAGTCACACAGCACAGAAACAGACCCTTCGGTCCAACTAGTCCATGCTGACTAAGTTTCCCAGACTAAAATTAGTCCCAATTGCCTGTGTCATTTTCAAATTGGCAGCCTGTGACTATTGGAGTTCCACAAGAATCACTGCTGGGGTCTCAGTTATTTACAATCTAGATTAATGACAGGATAAAGATGCTGAGAATAACTTATCCATGCTTGCAAGCAATATAAAGCTAGTTGAAAGTATTAGCTGTGAGGAGGACTCAACACGATTGCTAAAAGATATGGATAGGTTAAATGGGTGAGCTATGAGCTGAAAATGGAGGAAGATGCATTGGCTATAAAAATGGAAAAACAATTTTATTTTAAAAGACTGGAATTTTTAGGCTTTACTGTTAAGAAACACTTGGGTGTTATTGCACAAGGAACATAAAATGTTAGCATGCAAGTACAACAAGCAATAAGGAACACAAAGGGGACTTGAGAACCAGAATAAGGAAGTCTTGCTGTAGGACTTTGGTGAGACCACACCTGAACTACTGTGTTCGGTTTTGCTCTTCATATTTAAGGAAGGATATAATTATATTAAATCTGCATTCAATGAGGTATAGTCAAGGTTGACCCGATTAGTTCCTGGGATGAGAGACTTGTTCTTTGATGACAGGCAAAGTAAACTTGATGTATAATTTTGGGGATATAGAGCAATAAGAGATGATCAAACATACATGATTCTAAGAGGTTTTGACAGTGTCTTTCTTTTTGCAATCGGAGCTTCATAGATCACATAATTCTGAGACGTTTTTGACACTGAGGTTGTTTCCCCTGGCTGTGGAACCCAGAATACCAGTTCCTTATACCTGTATGGACATATCTTAGATATCTCAGGAAATCAAAGCATGTGGAAAGTGCAGTTAAGGCAGAAGAACAATTATGATGATACCAAATGGCTGAGCACTTTTGAATCATTACTAACGTAATTCCAATAAATTGATGAGCCAAGTAGTTAAGAAACAATGGGCAAAGAGCATCAGTTGAGTTCAAGTAGATGGATTGCAAATGGGCTAACATCTCATCCAATATATCCATGAGCTGCATTCCAGGTTGGAAGATATGTCTGCACATGTTTTTGTCATATAGTGACTTTGTGGTCCTGGTTTAGTTTTGAGGAATTACTCCATGTAAATAGAATCCCTACAGTGTGGAAGCAGGCTATTTGGCCCATTGAGTCCATATGGACCTGCCGAAGAGCATCCCACCCAAACCTACCCCGGCATTTCCCACTATTAGCAATTTAGCATGGCCAATCCACTTAACCTGCACATCTTTGCACTGTGGGAGGAAACCAAAGCACCCGGAGGAAACCCACACAAACACGGGGAGAATGTACAAACTGCACACAGACAGTAGCCCAAGGGTGGAATTGAACCCAGGTCCCTGGCACTGTGAGGCAGCAGTGCTAACCACTGTGCCACCATGCTGCCCCAAAGGCCAGGTATTTCCCTATTTGGAGGGAGGAAACACAGGATAGAATTTTCTCAGCCCCTGAGTGATATGGGCAAAGGTGAGCTATTTGGGACAATACAGCAACAATGGAAAAATAAGACCCTCAACTTTGAGGGAAAAAAACATCCGATGTCCACTAATGGTTTCAACGTATCAATGAAAATCTCACTAGTGAGTGGCAAAACATTAACATATCATTATTACCTAATCTTACCTCATTTATATGCATGTTGCTATTTTGCCACACAGCGAAGAAAAACAAGATGGCACCAATTTTGAACAGGAATGTCAGAGCAGTTATCTATTGATTCCAGCTCACCGGCATTTTCTCTGGGCCGCCACCTTGGTCAACATTCTCCAACATCTCAGGGCACACTTCATGGGCAGTGACCACCTCCATCCTCCTTCCACAGAGTTGGCATTGGCCAAGCAATAGACTCCCCAGATAATATTGGTCATATCTTGGACTCACTCAGAATACAGTTCACCATTTTAATGTTGCAGTTTGGAGTGCACTGACACTTTACACTACAATGCTGCTGCCAGGATACTTTGCACACAGGAACAGGGATATGTTTCATACTTTGGAATAGGATGCATCTTTGGTCCCTTAGCTTGCTTTCTTAGTGCTCATTCATTTTGCACCTGTTTGGATGTTCGCAGCATCTCTGTCTCATCTTGTCATGCCTTTTTGTGCATTGCTACTTCATTCAGTACTTACAGCCTCACAGTCGTTCTGATTTGCCTTGTGAACCCCAGAAAGTCCTGGCAGTGCTGAGCATAAGATAGAGTGACAGCAGCACCATGGAGATGTAGTGCAAATTTAATCAGGTGAGCACTGTAAATTTGTACAAGAAACCTTATGAGAGCTCAAAGAGGGAAACTGTCCATGAAATTCCCCAATATTGACACTCAGCCAAATTTTAGGAAAATTCAGTCCACAGTTTTCAACTTGTCTGCTTCAGTCTCTTAGGTAGACCCACAGAAATCTCTAAAAAGTGGATAGAGGCAAAGCATGCTCATTGCCTAATTTTTAAGCTGTTAAAGAAAGCATGTCACAAGAGATCAAATGGCAATGCTAATAATTAAAATCCTGAAAGTAAAAAGCAGACCTTGTAGAACTGGAACTCCAAGTAAGTGTAGAAGCTGGGTAACTTTCTGCTGTGCATTCCAATGTAGTCACATCTCCCTCTTTCTCCATTGTAATTTTTGGTTTTCTGGGTTTTGCTGCCAAAAGAAATTACAAAATATTATTGGAAGAATTCAATTGTGTCAAACATGTGACACTTAACAACTCACATTAATTAAGAAGTTTGTACTTACCTCTACCAATTGTTTTTAAGAGTGTCTAGTTCATTCAAATTTGAAATCATTTTGATCTGACCAATTTAAAGGGTTTTTCATTTTCTTCCCATATTAATAGTTCTTAATCTAGGATAGTTCTACTTTCCAGTTTTATGGAATCTAATTACATCGTAAAGCTGATGTCAGCTGGATTTGTTCACTTTGAAGTCGATAGAACTTGCATCTGTATAAAATCATACATGTTCTCTGGATGTGTCAAAGCTCATGTCATCTGGTGAATAGATCTCACAGTAAAGTGCTACAACCAGAAAACTATCTAAATCATCAGTGGGTTGTGTACTGCAGTAGTAGTATCCCTGCCTCTGAGGCAGGAACTCTCGGTTCACATCCCATCTGCATCAGAAGTGTGTCATAGCATATCTAAACAGGTTGATTAAAAGTATAACTAAATGATGTGTTAATCTGTTTTTGGTGATGTTCATTGATGGATTCATTTTGACAAGGAAACTAGGAGAAAGCAGTGCTCTTCTTTAGGTACCTTTTATCTAAACGAGCAAATTAAATTTTGTTTTGACATCTCATCCAAAGACAACACTTCTGAGAATGTAGCACTCGCTCAGTACAGCTCTAAAGTGTCAACTTAGTTTATATATTCAAGTTCTGGAATGGGGTTCCAACGCACAATCTCATTTTACAAATACATTAGTTTATGTATCAATTTGATAACATATTCCCTTCACAAATGTACCCCTAAATCAGTAAACAATCTGAGAAGGGGAACGCCATGGATATCATTATGTGAATGAATAGATACCAGTAATTTCTCATTCGTGGAAAGCTTTTAATTTTCACTACTTACCTCTAACAAAAATTGGAAAGCTAATTGTGTCTGTGCCTTCAATAGTGAGATTGTATATTCCTGCATGCCGTTCAGTGACTTGAGAAATTGTGAAAGTAATGATTGGACTGTAGAATAAAAGAGTAAGAATTCGACCATGTTATCAAGATTTAACAAGAAAATTCCATATGAGTAATGTATTGTATTAAAATGCTCTGTATTGCTGTATTATTATTCTTCTAATTTCCATTCTTCTAATTGAACAAAAGGTGAATCAGAAATAAGTGGCATTGGATCAAAAAAATGATAAACACTGTCATTGTAAATGCAGTTGACTGAGCTAGTTTACTCTTGATACTTGACTGAAGGGAAGAAACCATATGTTAAATGAAGTTGAAACTCCAAAAATGGCAAGGTAAAAATAATCTATTTTTAATATGGTAGTACAGAGCTTGAGAATTGCTGGGAAAAGATATATCTATTGAGGCTTTTCATTTTTTACGTATCATGACAATTCACACGAAATACCAAAGTGAAGGAAAAACAACTTTTTTTTACAAATAATACTCAAATACTATTATTATTGGCAAAGCTATTTGAAATTACTGGGGGGATCAGAAATTGGATTGTTGCAAGTGAATTGAGATCTATAAAGTAAAAAATATTGTGGCCTTTCCAAACGACAAAAACTTGCACCAATCAGCTCACCACCACCTTTTCAAGAGTAATAAATACTGGCCCAGCTAGCAAAGCCTACACCACATGAATGAGTACAATAAAAGTTAAATCCACTCAATTTTAGAGACCATTCTTTATGCAGTTGCATAATTTGATCAAATTTTACTGATTTTAGAGTGATTAGAAAGTTTATGCTGAGTGTCTGTAAAGCCTTTGGATGCATGGTCACTTCGCAGAATGAACATATATGCAAGATTTGGTCAGGGTGATTTTCTACCTATGCACTCCTGATGCACAGCATTGTATGAATGGAATATCAATAGAAATATTGGGTTCGGAGGTTTCCATTTACACGTGCTTTACTTCCCATTGAAATTAATGAGTGGAAAATTAGGAAGGTTGCTGCAGGTGTGTTTTCTCCTCCTGTATAATATTGTGATTTGAATTAAGGAAATGGGCTAGTTTGTACTAGTAGGAACCTGGCTAGTAAAACAAAAAATCTTTCCTAATATGATGGTATAGTTAGTATGAAAATCATCTGAGGCTGTGTTTTCACTATGCAATCTCGCGTGTTTTTAATCAACCAGCTAGTGTATCTAATACATGTGCTCTTTCATGCCATGTAATTGATTGTTATTTTTCATTGTAGTATAGTCAGAGTTTCTACTTTGCAGGGTCAAATCTGTTCCTTAGAGGATGGAACCAAAGAGACCTAACAAATGTAAAAGTGTTGAATCATTTTTCTGAGCCCCGCAAAAATAATCTGATCTGCTGCTCCCTGGGACTCTTCATCCATTTTGAATCATGACCAACATAGAATCCCTAAAGTGTGGAAGGAGGTCAATTGGCCCATTGAGTCCACACCTACCTTCCAAAGAGCATCCCACCCAGACCCATCCCCTACTCTATCCCTGTAACTTTGCATTAACCATGGCCAATGCACCTAACCTGCGCATCTTTGGACTGTGGGAGGAAACCGATGCAGACATGGGGAGAATGTGCAAACTCCACACAGACTGTCACCCGAGGCTTTAATCAAACCTGGTGCTGTCAGGCAGCAATGCTAAACATTGTGCCACCATGCCACTGATTTTTGAGACCTCACTTGGGTGAAATGCACTGTACACTTATGTGGCTCATTACAGCTCTTTGCTGCACAGTAAATGCAACAAACATTCCAGTGACTAATAACATTTTGTCTCTTGCTTGTAATTAAAATGGCTAATTAAGCGTTGGTCTTTATCTAAAGAGGAATGGAATATAAAGGATGTCATGTTACTGTTGTAAGACTTCCCGTGCTATTGTAACTTGAGCATTGCACTTAATTGTGGGCATTGCACCTCAATAAAAATAAAGTGGTCTTCAATGAAGTGCAGTGCAGAGTCAACCGAACAACTTTGGAACAAAAACAAAAGGTTAAACTGAGACAGCAGATTGCTTAACATTGAAAACATTAAATTAAGGGGGAAATCTAACTGAGGTATTTAAAATGATTAAATGATTTTGATACAGAAAATAGAGAGAAACTGTTTCATCTGGTGGGAGAGTACAACACGAGGGACTTAACATTAAAATCAGATCATTCGGGGTGATGTCAGAAAGCACTTCCTCACTCAAATGGCAGTGGAAATCCAAAATTTTCTGTCCCCAGTAGGCTAGGTCAGTTGAAACTTTCAAAACAGAGTTTGATAGCTGTTTGTTAGGTAAGAGAATGAGGATTATGAAACTAAGGTTATTGGATGGAGATAAGAATCATGCTAGCTATGGTCTAATAAAATGGCAGAAGAGACTGAATGACTAAATGGTTTGCTCTCGTTGCTTTAAATCATGAACCTGAATTTTAAGGGCACCACGATCCCCACAATTAGCAGCTAAAAGGTTGGCGGGAAACCCAACCAGGGAAAGAATAGCTGTCCCATTGTAATTTAATGATCAACTGCCTGTTAGCGATTTTTGCCACTTGGTACTAGGGAGGTCGGGGATGTTTGAGAGGCTGGTGGGTAGGGAAAACAGAAAAATATGCCTTCGGCATCTGCCTCCAATGAGGAAGACGACCTGCAAAGAAAGTGGCTCCCCACCCACACGTGATTGATACCAGTCCACACAGCTAAAGCTGCCAGATAGCCACATGGCATGGTTCTCCACCTACCTGTGGGAGCAGGATGAGACCGTTTAGTGGCCATTAATATTAAGATCTCAATTGGCATTAATAGGTGGGCAGACAACCCAACTCTTCCAAAACCCCTTTAAAATTTCATACAGGTATTAGAGCAGGGGGCAGGTGGTTTTATAGCAAAAAAAAGCGTGCATTAGATTTTACAAGCTCCCATTGTTCAAAGGTGCTCGCAGGATAGCCTAAAATACACCCATTGTACTTATAGAATCATAATCTTTTGTCTAACACAAAGTGCAACTTCAATTCAGTTTGCATTACAAATCTGGACTACCATTTAATGGATTTTAATGTACAATATAAAGTATTATTTAAAAAATCAAGAAAATTACCTGTGTGGGGTGCAATAATTCACATTACACTGAGTTATGATGTTCATAAAGTTCCAGTGGCAAGATATATTCCCAGAAACATTCATGATCACTTTCAGTGTTATAGAGTCCAAAACATTAACTTCAATTTTGCTGACATTAACCTGAAAATCTAAGTCACACTGTACATCAACAAAGTAGAAAAGAAAGACACAGCAAAATCTAGAAATCTGATTTAGTTTCGTATTAAGCATAATTTGGAATGAATAAACATTCCAAAATTAATAACAATGTTAATTTATCATTCTAATAATAAAAAAGCACTATGGAACACAAGTAATTAATTCATACCACTGGCTTCGTACATCAATAATTGTCTCCTTGCTGAAGTGTTGGTATTCAAACAGAAATGATTTTGACTATGATTTTTATCCATGGGAGCGATCTATAAAAGTAAGATCTGAAATTAAATGCTCCATATATTTTATATATATTTTTATTATGTTTTCATAGAAACAGAATGAATTTGAAACATTAAAGACAATTGGATATATGCTCACTACACTCTAGGAAAAGAAGCATGCCTAAAATTTCACCTGTTTCTCTCTCTATGCACTTTAAATGCATATCCCTGCTTTTCCGCGATCTGTCAAAGTGCAATAATCTATCATTCAGCACATAAACCAGTCCTGGCATTATTTTCGACATTTCTGATAGAACTGTTTCTAAGTCCATTCTACTCTAAAGTGAATAAAGCTAACTTTTCAAGTCTGGCTGAGTAATTACAATTCTCTAGCTATAGATCAGTGTCGTAGTTCTGCCGTGAATCTTCCACAGATATCCTTTATTTATTTATCAAGAAACATTTCCTTTTGCGCTTATGATTATATGATCTCCCCAACCCTACAGCCTGGAATATGGTCCATTCAAAACGTTTCAAAATATTGAACATTCCTTCCATATTATCTCCGCAACTTTCAGTACCATTTGCTGTAAATGATAAGTAATACTCCTCACATGCATGATACTACATTTACCGAAGTTATATGTAATTTACCATTGTTTGGCCCATTCTTCAGGCATTCTACAACTTTAGTGTCATTTTTAGCTTAATTAGTATCACTGGATTAGAACATTATTGTTCAAGTCCCACTCCAGGTCACAAGCCCAAAAATCAAGGTTGATATTCCAAAACAGTTGAGGGAGCGCTGCCCTGTCAAATGTATTGTTTTTTGAATAAGACATTAAACTGATGATCTGTCTTCACGCTAAAGTGAATGTAACAAATCTCATGGCATGATTTCAGAAATAGCAAGGGAGTTATTCCTGGTGCATTCGTCAATATTGACCCCTGGTTAAAATTGCAAAACAAGTTATCTTTTTAGTGTCACAAAGCATTTTGTGTGAACTTGCGGTGTGCAAATTGGCTGTCACATTTCCCACATTACAATAGTAACTGTATTAGAAGAGCACTTAATTGGCTCTAGCACACTTTTGAATATCCAATTGCAAATCGTTCTTTTGATTTACAGAAGAATATTGCTGTTGTAATCATTTTTTACTGTTTTAACCCTCATCTAAATTTTAGCAGTATCTATGAACTTGCTGGCCATACACTCAACCTTATTCTCCAAGACACAGATAAATACAATGAGTGGTGGGACACCACTGTTAACTCCATGTTAATCCATAACCTTTGACTACAAATTTAACTGTGGGACTTGAACCAATTTCTAACTCGGTGTATCATCTGAAATGTAAGTTTAACTGCTGACTTAAAACAGTTGGATTCTGTTAGGATTGTCTTTGCCTCTGAATTGAGCTTCAGATAGTGATTGAAACCTTGTGAAATATTACCATCTTTATGAAGTCATAGAGTCATAGAGCTGTACAGCATGGAAACAGACTTTTCAGTCCAACTCGTCAATGCTGACCAGATATCCTAAATTAATCTACACACATTCGCCAGCATTTGGTCCATATCCCTCTAAACCCTTCCTATATATTTTACATTAAAAAAAGTTTCCCTCTGTGCTTACAATTGTATGCAACGCCCAGCCCACAATACCTTCCCATAACCTGTTGAGTAAGGATCCATTCAAGACGCTTAAAAAGATTGAGTTATTTCTTTTGATCTTGGCCACAATCCTGGTCTGACGTAGGTGGGGCCCTTTGGCAAATGAATACAACCTGCTGCCAAATATAGCCACCACAATCTGGCTGGAGAGTCAAAAACTAATGAAAGTTTGCATTTTGACAGATGTCCATTGACCCATAATAGAGTTACCACTTTGAACACAAAACTGGGGTTTGCTGTGAAGCTGCAAGTATTTAATTGCTTAGTCACAATCATATTTTGCGAATAATAAATGGCCACTTTAGGGAGTGGCACAGCTATAGGCACCATAGAATGAAACAGCAACTTTAGGAGCACCAAGAGAAAATAGTTGTTTTTTGCAATAGAAGAAGAAAAATAAATTAAAATGCAGACAGAATGAACAATAAATTACCTCGTTTGTTATGTGTGATGATTCCAGATGATCCATATTGGTACGATAGATTAAAACATATTTGGATTGAAAAAATCCTTTGTTGACTTCTTTTTCAGAAACCACAAGGAGTGCTGCATTTATTACTGTTGAAGATAAAATAGGTCTTAATTACGCTCCACAAACACATGCTCAATGGAACATTCTGATAATCATGACCAAACAGAAGTAAAGGCTATATTTTTAAATTCGGGACTTGATTGACCGTCCCTGGAGATGCAGACAGAGGTGGCAAGAAGAGAAAATAATATGAGAATTCATCCTGGAGAGAAACTCAGGCCCTTCTCACCACGTCACTAATGGAGCTCTAGGTGAGAAGGTCCTTGGGCGACCTTCTTGACCCACGATCATGACCACACCATCCTCCTCCTATACCTCTCGATGGTCATTCAGCTTGGAAAGACTGCTCTCACCAGGTTCCATTCTTATCTATCAAACCATATCCAATTTCTACTCCTTTCATCCCAGCATTGTTGCTTCTAGTGTCACCCAAGGATCTCTACTTGGGCCCCTCCTATTTTTATCTATCTGCTACTCCTTGTCAATGTCACTTAATTTTCATTTTCACATATACACTGACAACACACAGCTCAACATAATCTTAACAGCATCTCTCCCAACTCCTCCACTGATGCTAAATTATCAGACTGTTTATTGAACATCCTGTACTGAATGGACAGAAATTTCCTTCAATTAAATTTTTGGAAGATTGAAACTATTGTCTTGTCTCCCTGCTGCAAAATCCATTCCATAGCTACCAACTCCATTCCACTCCCTGGTACATGCAAGATAGTGAACCAGACTCTTCATTACCTTGGTATTATACTCAACCCACTAAGAGCACTTATTTCCATCTCTATAACTTCAGTTGGACATCTGGAAAATGATCCATTTCGTGTTAGTCTCTGCTTTCTGTCTTTTAACCAATACTCAGTCCACACCAGCTTATTTACTGACCTCTTATGTGGGACCTTATCAAAAACCTACTGAAAATTTTAATATGCCACATTCATTGGTTCTCGTTTGCCTGTACTACAAGTACCATCCTCAAAAAACTCCAAGCTTGTCAAACAAGATTTCTCTTTTAAACATCTACATTGATTCTGTCTAATTCAACATTCTTTTTAAAATGTTCCATTGCTATATTCTTTACAGTAGAATCTAATATTTTCCCCATTATGAACATCAAGCTAACAGGTCTGTAGTTCCCAACTACTATTTTTATTACTACTTCCTTCAACACTCTGGTGTGAAGGTCATCCAGTACAGGAGACTTATCAACCTTCAATCTAGATAACCTTTCAAGTGCTACCATTTTATTAATGCTAATTTCTTATAGCTTCTCAGTTTCACAAATTTTTTATTCTTCAAGTATTTTCTATATCTTGTTCCATAAAGACAGACACAAAAAGCAGAATCTTTAGAGGGGTTTGAGCGACACAGGCTATGTTGAGATTTGTGGCAGAATCAAAGAGGAAGTCTGATGAGCCTACCTCAACAAACAGGAGTTTCTCACTCCCTCTGTTGTGCTTTTGTCAAGTGGCAAGGTGAGATTCTCACTCGTCAGTGGCAATGAGGCCCATTAAGGAGGATAATAGCTTAATAAATGCCTCATTAATGGCCCAACGCCTTATTGTATGCAGCTTCCTATTTTACCAAATGTACCAAATGAACAAGGTGTAAAGCAATGTCAACATGGAAATCATTGTGGGTCTCTATCAATTGCAGCTCACTGTAGGCTGTGGGAAGTCACAATGCAGATCAGTGCCAAGCAGCATTTCAGGGCATGATACATGGGCTCCAGCTGCATGCACCCCTCATATATGGACATTGGCATTTGTCAACCCCTCATGATCATGAGAGCTCTCTGATCTATGTGCAGGCTGTTTCAGAAGCACAGGCTTGCACTGCAGGGTGCACCAGCAACTAGGGTTGAAAGACTGCAACAGGAACACTTGCACCAAAGGACAAGCATCCAACTCACAGATTGGACCAGACTGCATCTGAGAGCTGCTCACTTGCTTTCTTAGCGTTTGCTCACTTAGAGTCTACCTGCATTTTCACAGCATCCATGCTTTGCCCTTGCTGTGCCTGTTAACGTGTTAGCTCTTCAGATCGAGCCAAATTCTATCAGTATTACCATATTGACATGCTCTTTTATGCAGACACAGACAGGCTGCTTGTCAGTCAGGATCTGTCTGGGAGTGGAGTGGCAGCTTGATACACAACACTTCGAGACATCAGTTAAACACCCGCAGCATGTGCCAGTGACTTGCGCAGGCAACACACTGAGCAATTATTCAACCAATTGGCCATGTCAGACACAGGGTGAGGGCTAGCCTTAGTCAAGTCAAGGGAAACCCAGTCAAGGGAAACCCAGTCAAGGGCACAGTCCTCACACAACCCAAGGGCTTGGCCATGGTCACCCATTTGCTTGGGGATCTGCCCAACTACAGTCTGAACAGCAGGCAATGATCTGTCCTATAAGACCAGCATCAACATTCAGGGGAATCACATATCGTCAATAGGGGAGCAGCAAAGACTGCAGTTGGTATCTGGTCAATCATGTCTAGGTAGTAGTAGGTCAGAGGTCTGGGGAACTAGTGGTCTGGAGTCCTAGAGGTCTGATTATTGATTATTGAGGAGGGTGTTGGGGGTAGTAGGGCAGCAGTGGGACCATTTTCAGAAGGGTTGAGGGGGTCAAGGCTGGGGAAGAATGTACAGATATTTATGGAGATGGGAACAAGAAAGGTGACAGGGAGAAACACAAGGTGTATGATGGGTTGTGTGGAACAGCATCAGAAGGCATTGCAGGCTAGAGGATGGGGAATTACTGGCAACAACTACCACCATGGCCTCTGCAAGGGAGTGTAGAGGAGTAGGGTGGGTATTATTAAGTTGTAACGTCGGGTTCAGGGAGAACAGTTGGAAATTCAATTTGGTGCACCTTAACATTTACATAAAGGGTGGTAAAGAGTTGTTGATGTTGACTGAGGTAAAACGGGACATGGAGGCTGATTAGAGGTGCCCAGCAACTAGACAGGGCCCCAGTGCTGATGCTGTTTACTGCGAGCTGTGTTCCCCGCCATCATTTGCTGTTCTCGAGATGTGAAATGTAACTGGAAAATAGCTCAGACAACAGCCAGGGTGGGCAGAATGTCCTGGTCCTTTGATTGAATGAAAGCATAGGATCCAGATCTGCTCGACATAAGGGCATTGAAGATGCAAACACACAAGGCATGCATTTGTAAACTCCAAGTACATTTCTTTTGAAAACATTTCTGTGAATATATGCAATGCATGCAGAGTGAACATGCTTAAACATCAAAAGCAAATTGAACCATGCTATTGTTGCTATGTAAACTAACATCATCATTTCAGTGATGCAGACGTTAGCAGCAATAACTTAAAAGAGCCAAAACTGTCCCTCCCTTGTGAAGCTTCCCAGGATGCTGTGGGATGAGGGTAGTATCACTACATCGTGTGTCATACAAATATGGTGTCTACAGAAAAATGGAATGTTTGATCTGTGTCTGGGATGGGAAGGGGGACAAAGTATAGCAGGGACTGCTTTTTGGATCTATTGTGTTGGTCAAACAGCTGGTGCAGCACCTTTGTCTAATTGGTGCACAGGCTGTGACCAAGGCTCTGGTGGAGCAGGCAGCAGGGCTTCAGAAGGTCTGATTAGCAGCTTAGAGAGATCTGGAGGGCACTCCAATATAATCCTGACACAGTGAGTCACAGCATCCTGGCGTACTATGTTCTGCACAACTGGAGAAACCAACAAGGTGATATGATTGATGCTGAGGAGTCGGGAACAGGAGCTGTCATCTGATTATGAGATTAAAAGAGAGAGAAAAGACAGATTTTTGTATTCTTATTGTATTTAGTTTATAAAAAGCACATGAATCATAGCAGACTTCCGCTCTTGTCTCTTCAGTAAGTACAACTCAAGGCAATCAAAACTCGGCTGGTTGTGTCCCTAGCTCCCAGTGCATCCAATTCACCATTGTCCTGGTCCTTACTGACCTATATTAACTACAGATCAAGCAACATTTACAAATTAAGGCTCACATTCTTGTTTTCAAATCTCATCATTTCGCCACCTTAGTTATAAATTTTCACCAACTCTACAACAGACGTGGCAGCGCGGTGGCACAGTGGTTAGCACTGCTGCCTCACAGCACCAGGGACCTGGGTTTGATTCCACCCTCGGGAGACTGTCTGTGTGGAGTATGTACATTCTCCCCGTATCTGCGTGGGTTTCCTCCGGGTGCTCTGGTTTCCTCCCACAGTCCAAAGATGTCCAGGTTAGGCGGATTGGCCATGCTAAATTGCCTGTAGTGTTTCAGGGATGTGTAGATTAGGTGGGTTATAGGGCGATGGGTCTGGGTGGGATGGTCTGAGGGTTAGTGTGGACTTGTTGGGCCAAAGGGCCTGTTTCCACACTGTAGGGATTCTATGAACTCCAAGAAATAATGTGGTTAAACACCTTTCTACAATCTGGAATGTCCAAATTATTCTATATTCCAGTTCCTCATGGCATGAATCTATATAAATTCCTAACAGTGTCTGAGACAGTAACTTCTTCAGAACAAATGAGGCTTAGTCCAAAACACATGTTACATTGCATCATTTTCCCCAATGCATAGACAAAGCATAACCATACCCACTTAAAGGTGTACCATAAAAGTGTCCACTTTAAGAAGATCAAAAATACGTAGCAAAAGAAGTATCATATAAAATGAAATACAGTGGAACTAATTTATAAACACATAATCAAGAATGGTTTCACATAGAGACACACTAATTCTTAAGTTCTCTTTTATTGGGAAGGTGAAAGACTTGAGAGTTACAACAATTATCTCAGCAGTACAAGTTCTTCTCAATAAGCAATTGACTTCAGAAGAAAATAAATGTGACAATGGAACCCAATTTACATGAAGATAATTTAAGAAATTCACCACAGATTGTGAACTCAATATTATCACATCATCACCAGATTCCAAAAAAGACACAGGTTTAAAGAAGAATCGTCAAAAGAATCCTCAGGTTATCAAACCTCGATAATTAAGAAATGCTGAGA